TTTTTGTCTGTTGCTGTTGATTTTTTTTATTTATAGAATCTAAGCTACTGCCACGGCGCGTTATTGTTATCGATCGTTTCATATGAACCGAGATATGAAAGCAGTGATATGTGCGAACCTATTACGTACACATAGTGTTAAAAAATAAAAATCATTTCGCGTTCAATTGTTTTGTATACAAACCTTTGTTTGGTCATTTTTAGAACAATAAGTGACACTTTTTTAACACACCCTGTATAAGTGATTTATAAGTCGCATATTGTCTTTTTCACGAGTATCCATTGCGGTAGACTGACAGCTGATTATCTAGTGTTATTTCAAGATACTCCATATCGCCAAATGATATATAATTCTGACGAATCCGTCAAGGTCAGGAAGACAGAGGCGCATATTGGTATTGTTTTGGCTTTTTGTATTTCACATATTCATTTTGTACTTGCTAACAACTCTTTAATGTAGCAAAATTCACTTGCATACAAAAGAAAGACCCTTCAAGCAAATTTTACTAGTTTTACAGCCGATTCTTTATTGACAACGCTTACAGACAAAACGTGATAGATACGAGCCCTGTAAAGCACTCACTCGGAGGGTTTACCGATGAAATAACTATACGTTCTTCGCTTTACGAAGGTTTATAACAGAAAATGTAGGGTACAATACTTTGTATATACGTGAACAACAATGTCTGTCTCTCGTGGCACCATCATCCCCTCTTCTCTTGCGTCACCGGTTGGTAACAAAAAAACCTGTAGATTTTTCGCCCGGTCGGTAACGTAGGGTAACCGCCTGGCCAGTAGCAAACGGTTGATGCGTTGAAGCGCCGCTCACTAGATGGCGCGAGAAGTACGGTGGGTGAGCTTAACATACCGGCGGCCTTGAAAGATCCTGATGAGCAGGGCTTTCAACACTGTTCTTAGGAAAATCTTCAACTGGTAGAAGGGCTACTCTCTGCACAGCTCTCGTGGTTTCTCCATTGACAGTGCGCACGGTTACAGTGCGGGCAACTCCATCTTGTCCATGGTGTAGTTTGGTGATGCGTCCCAGTTTCCATAGCATGGGAGGCAGGTTGTCGTCGAGAAGTAAAACTAGCTTTCCCTCATGAATTTCTTGCGTATCCGCCTTGAGCCATTTGGTCCGAACTTGCAATAGTTGAAGGTACTCCTTGGACCATCTATGCCAAAACAGTTGGTAAGCTTGCTGTAGGCATTGGTATTGAGTCAGCCGATTCATCGGTGTAGTCGTCAAGTCTGTGTATGGGATGGTAGTTAAGGGTTCGTGGATAAGGAAATGGCCGGGTGTAAGGGTAGACAAATCGGAAGGGTCAGCAGAAAGGGGTGTCAGAGGACGCGAATTCAATATAGCTTCCACTTGCGCAAATATTGTGGTTAGCTGTTCAAAAGTATAGATTTTCTTTCCAAGTACGCGAGATAGGTGGAACTTGGCACGCTTTACGGCAGCCTCCCACAAGCCTCCACGGTGGGGACATCGCGGCGGAATAAATTTCCATTCAGTATTGTTGGTTAGGAAAAATTTGACTACACTGGGGTCTTGAATATTTAAAACAAGTGCGTCATAAATTTCTTTCAATTTATTATGAGCACCAACAAAATTAGTTGCATTATCGGTGTATAAAATCCGAGGTAAACCTCGACGGGACGTGAACCTAGTTAAGCAGCCAAGAAATGAGTCGGCACTAAGATCACTCACTGTTTCCAAATGTACTGCTTTAGTGGTAAAGCATACAAAGATACACAAATAGGCTTTAATTATAGCACGGTTCCGTAGGCGGCCATCTTTTATTTGAAAGGGTCCAGCGTAGTCTATTCCCGTTATCAAAAAGGCCCGATTGACGGTGACTCGATCCTTCGGCAGATCCGCCATTTTGCGTACAATCGTGGTAGGATTCACTCGAAAACAGGTCAAACACTTATTCAAGACGTTTCTGACAGTACTTTTTCCACCAATTGGCCAAAAACGCTGTCTTAGTGAACTTAAAATAGCTTGCGCTCCCGCGTGTAGCTGCCGGTGATGCTCGTGCTTAATCAATAACACAGTAAGGCGATGCTTTGAGCCTAATATAAGAGGATGTCGGGTTTCAAATGGTAAGTCAGACTTGGTCAAACGGCCTCCAACCCGCAAATAACCTTGTTGGTCGAGGAATGGACTTAAATTTTGGATCCGCGAGATCTTAGGCAAGTTCTTATTCCGAGATAAACATTCCATTTCCGTGGTGAAGTCTTGGGCTTGAGCTTGCCTGACTAAGATAAGTAGTGCTTCATTAAATTCTTCGTTAGTTATGGGACCTGATTTGCGGTGGGCAGGTGGCGATGTTGCGTTGTGTGTAAATCGCTTACAGAAGGCTATGATTTTTTGCAGTCTATATAAGGTCGCACCTCTTTCGAAAATAGTATGGTCAACGGTACGCGCAACTAGCGAGATCTGACACTTTCGTGCCTCCAAAACACTATTTTCAATATTGGATGCAGTTTTAAAACTAGGTCTTGGCCAGGACTGCTCGTCCTCAGCTAACCATGATGGCCCATGCCACCAGAGCTCACATGTAGCGAGTTCGGGGGCCCTGAGACCTCGCGACACGATGTCTGCAGGATTATCCTGAGACGAGATATGATTCCACTGGGTTATATTACTTACATTCTGTATTTCTGTGACACGGTTCGCTACGAACTGTTTCCACTTGATAGGTGGAGCCGAGATCCAGGACAGGACTATTGTGCTGTCTGTCCAGTAGAAAATCTGATTAATGTGCGTATCAATAGTTTGCATGACTCTACTAACCAACCGTACCATTAGGAGTGCTCCACATAACTCGAGCCGTGGCAGACTTATAGCCTTTAACGGTGCAACCCGAGATCTTGAACACAGCAAATTTACGGTTGAACCTTGTGGTCCGATACTTTTTACATAAAGATTCGCGCCGTATGCCCGCTGTGATGAGTCGCAAAATGCGTGAATCTCGATTCGAGTTGCGTTTGTCATAATAATTTGTCGGGGTGTTTCGATTTCTTGTATAGACGATAACTCACTTATGAACTTAGTCCAACCTTTTGAAACCTTAGGAGTGACTATGTCATCCCATCCCGCTTTTAACTGCCAAAGCTCTTGTATCATCAACTTCACGGTTACGGTCACTGGGCTGAGTACCCCTAACGGGGCGAATATCTTCGAGATGGCGGATAAAATACCTCGTTTCGTGATGCGCTTTAGTACGAACTGATCTATTTCGACTGTATATTTGAATACATCAGATTGGGCATTCCAAAATACACCCAATGTTTTGCGCGTCTCATCGTTATTCAGCTGAAACGTATTAGATTCGTTGTTAACTGTTTGCTCTAACGCCTCGATGCGGTTTGACAACCATTTCCTCAACGGGAACCCATACGAGTCAAGTATAGCGGCTAATTCATTTTTTAACTGCTTTGCGTCATCTACCGAGTCTGATCCACTGATCAGGTCATCGACGTAAAAGTCATTTAGGATAACTTTACTAGTCTTAGGATACTTTTCGAGATTATCTTGACCAACTTGTTGTAAACAGCGAACTGCGAGAAAAGATGCCGATGCCGTGCCGTACGTGATTGTATTTAACTTATAATGAGCTATGTCTTCACTTGTGTTTTCACGCCATACAATTCGCTGCAAGTCACGCTGACCTTCTTCAACACCTACTTGCCGATACATTTTGGCAATGTCAGCAACCAACACTACGCTATATTTTCGAAATCGCACTAGGATGTCAAACAGGTCTTGTTGGATCTTAGGCCCGATAATCAATGTGTCGTTTAACGATAATCCGCTATTTGATTTGCTTGAACCGTCGAATACAACGCGCAATTTTGTCGTTGTACTCGCTGGGTTCGATACTCCGTGATGAGGTAAATAAAAGGTATTCCCGATACTAGGGGAAATATCCGTTTCAGCTATTCGCGACATGTGGCCCAACGACACGTATTCTTTCATGAACGCGACATATTCTTCTCGAAATGATGGATTTTTGCTGAATTTTCGCTCCATTGCATGTAATCGAGTTATCGCGTTATGTAAGTTGCAATCCAGTTGTGTTACATTGTTTTTTATTGGTAAGGTGACAACAAAATGTCCGCGTTCGTCGCGTCGCGTTGTTTTTCTGAATAAAGTCTCGCATTCATCGTGCTCGGGTATTTCTGTTATGTGTCTAGAGACTTCTTCTACGAGCCAAAATTTTTCGATCTGGCTTTCAAGTCTCGTGCTAACGGCGAGATTGCACACTACCGTACTATCGGATTTTTCCTGCTCAAGTTTCCCTGATATAATCCAGCCTAATACCGTGTTATGCAAAACGGGTAGTCCTGGCCCTAACTGGATCTGACCAGAACACAATAGTTCTAAGTACAATCCTGCTCCCAAGAGAACATTGATTTCTGACGATTTGTGGTAACGTGGGTCCGCCAACTGTACGCTGGACGGTATACGCAAGTTTTCTGGGGCGAAAGATACGCTCGGCTGATTCTCGGTTATTTTTTCCAACACTAACAACGTTTGCTTTGTAGAAAACGTCGTGCAGGTAGACCTTATCTCTGTAGATACCACTTGACATGCCTTTGGAACAGAACTGCCTACACCTAATACCGGTATTCTACTATTCATAGGCTTTAATTTCAACAATTCCACCGTGCGTTTCGTGATGAAGTTCGGTTGCGATCCGCTATCAAGTAAAGCGCGACATTCGTGCCATCGCCCTTCCGCATCTTTGAGTAAAATTATCGCCGTGGATAATAAAACTCTGTTTTTGAGGTCCACACAGCTACCCGCAAGCAACCCTGTCGACTGATCATCATTTTTTTGTACTGCGCTACTCGAACCCTTAGCGCTTGCTACGCCACTGGTAGCCGCTGATTCAGAACTCGCGAGCAGTGCCGACCCTGTGGCAGACGACGTCGATGCAGGGACCGCATTGTGATGAGATGATTCATGCAACAGCGTGTTGTGTCTGGAGCTACATCGCTTACACCCCCGTGAACGGCATTCACCCTTCTGGTGGCCTTGTCGGAGGCAGTTCCAACATAATTTTAATTTTTGAATTTCTTGGCGCAAAGATGCGGCTGGTAATGCTTTGAATTTATCGCACAAGTAAATCGCGTGCTGACCGTTACAATACACACATGATGCTTCGATTGCTGCGCCCGAAAATGTTCTATTCAAGCTTACAGGTTTCTTGTGGTTAACCGATGTATTCTGTGCTCTGCCTGTGGATTTATCAGATTTTTCACGCGATATGGCCTCAAGCAATTGACACCGAGCATTTAAAAATTTGATTAAATCATCTATACCAGGCGATTCAATTTGACGTGAGATTACGTGCTCCTCCCACGACTTTTCCGATGAAGGATCGAGTTTTTTTGTGATTAAATAAATTAGCAAAGTACTCCACTGTGTCACAGGCTCGCCTAAGGAAGTTAATGACCTCAAATGCTTTTGAAGGTCATCTGTTAATTTTCTAAGGGAGTGAGGATCTCTAGTTACCGATGGCATTTCAACTAATTCTCGAACATGATTCTTTATGATAACTGTACTATTTTCATATCGAGATTTTAATAACTGCCATGCATGATCATAATTCTCTCCTGTGACTTCCATGTTTTCGATTACTCTTGCGGCTTCTCCTTTTAAACAGCTCATCAGATAATAGAATTTTTTGACATTATCTAACGTAGGATCTCTGTCAACTAAGGCCAAAAACATATCCCTGAACTGACCCCATTTTTCATATTCACCATGAAACTTTGGCAACTCAATATTTGGAAATCTTGTATTTGAGACAGAATGCAACTGGTGATGTGAGAGGCCCACGTTTGATGAAGGTTCTGTGTTTATTTGCTTGCTCGCTTTTGTGTATCTGTGTGCATTCTCTATTGCGCTGTAATACCTGTCTTCAAAGGTGGCTCTCTCACTTGAACTTAACTCAGTTTCACTGAGAATCTCTATTTCATCTTGTACTGTATTGAAATTGTCTAACAATCCCGTGGCTTGCTCTAAACGCGCCTCTAATTGAATTATTTCACTTTTATCAAAGTTTTCTAGATACGTTATAAAACGCGTTAGTGAACCCTTTATTTGTCTTCGCTTGATGAGCAGCTGCCGTAACTGCTGTGCAGTTTCACTTGTGGAATCGGAATCCATAGCTGGATCGATCATTTTTTCAACTAGACGATATGACTGATTGATTGCACTACTGATTGACCTGATTTTGAATCAACGAGACAAGGAAGTGATAAGGAACAGACTTACAGCAGGTATTTCTGACTCAATCATCTGGTTTCAATACTTTTAGCTTTCGTGGTCGTGGCGTGGCTTCGTGGTCGTGTCGTGGCGTGGCTTCGTGGTCGTGGTGTGGCGTGGCTTCTTTACTTCGTCGTTTTCTTACGTTACTGATCGTGGCTCGAAGGACCAACGTGTAAAGCACTCACTCGGAGGGTTTACCGATGAAATAACTATACGTTCTTCGCTTTACGAAGGTTTATAACAGAAAATGTAGGGTACAATACTTTGTATATACGTGAACAACAATGTCTGTCTCTCGTGGCACCATCATCCCCTCTTCTCTTGCGTCACCGGTTGGTAACAAAAAAACCTGTAGATTTTTCGCCCGGTCGGTAACGTAGGGTAACCGCCTGGCCAGTAGCAAACGGTTGATGCGTTGAAGCGCCGCTCACTAGATGGCGCGAGAAGTACGGTGGGTGAGCTTAACAAGCCCCTTCCCACTTCAGTTGGCCCACTTCAAGATTTGTACCAAAATATGCCTTTATAAACTAAACATGACGAAACTATTTACTTCTAAAACAATTTATTTTTCAAAAACATTTTAGATACACTCTAGTCGTAAAAAATACATATTTGAAATCACTTAGACCTATAACTAATAGAACATCTGAACAAATAAACAATGTGCGAATAAATGCGCGAAGTTAACAAAGCAACAATTGAAACATTACCATTGGGTAACATCACCTTTATTTTTTATTACGGCTGAAATTCTTTGAGGCATAGTGTTAACCAAATTTTGGAAAATTGTATAAAACAATGCCATATTCCTTGAAGCTTTTGTCTCAGTTCCGTGATTGTACGAGCAGGATCTTTTTCATCTCGTGCCACAAAGTTTCAATAGGTGACATATCTGGACTGCTAGAAACCCATTTCAAAAGTGGTACATTATTTTCTTCCATCCATTTTATAGCCTTTTTTGAGGTATGGCACGCTGCACCATCTTGCTGAAACATAAAATCTTGGCCGGATATCAAACATTCTTCCATCACTGGTTTTTTTGCGAATAACTCTACTGCGACTGTGACCAACACAAACTTCGAATCGGGCCTCATCACTCCATTGTATTGCACACCATTGTAGAGGTGTCCATTTGACTTTTGTTTTGAATTTTTGTCAGGCAGAAAAGACTACCCAATAAAATATAACCTAAATTAAATAATTTTTCCTTGAGAAGCCTGATGTAAATTGTACCGAAAGCTTTCGATAGGTCAAAGAAGTTGCCCGCGATACATTTATACCCAAATAAAACAAGGTTCCGCTCCAAGGACATATGAGGAGTTTTGATATTTATAATGTTGTATTCAAGGTCGATACCAATTTCTGGCTTTGTGGGAATTTTTGCAAAAATAATTTTTATTTGACTGGATTACGGTATTTTACACATTGCTATTTCACGGCATTTTGAGCATTGGATGAGTGTATATGTGCAACATGTGTAGTCTGCACAATTTTGTTACTTGGAAGCGAGTACCTATGAAGCATTTGCTTGCAAGTATAAATTAATCGTTCATATCGAATGAAGCAGTTGCTTTTACTTCTATCTTTTGTTCTAAGCCTTTCCTTTTCTTTCTACTTATGCTGCTTATAAGCAGTTACTTAATTTTTGTTCATATGGCCCTATATTCAGTTTAATTCAAAACTATTATTTTACAGAAAAGGACAAAAATTGCGAAAGAGGAAGAATTTGAACGTAGGAATAAGAGACCATTCCTGAAATATCCAGGGAAAATAGTTTATCATACAGAAATGATCGACATAGCGTATTGCTCTGACAAACTTTTGTAAGTACTGTTTTTTTATTTTTCCGCGATTTTTTATCTGCTTTTTTTTTCATCTTAGGACAAAAGCAAATGAATCTGCAGATGTACTGATAATAGGCTTCGATCTAGAATGGCCATTCAGTTTTCAAACAGGTCCTGGAAATGTAGCTGTTATACAGATCAGCCCAGATTTGACAAACTGTTACATTTTCCATATCAGCCGACTAAAAAAGCTGCCAAAGGGTTTGAGTGAATTTTTGGCTCATGACAACGTAAGACTTACAGGAAACAACATAAAAAAGTAAGTTTGTCTAATATATACCATCTGATAAATATACTAAGTGACATATAAATCCGAACACCCAGTTTAAATGGTTTTATTTTAATAAAATTTTGTATAAGTACTTAATGAAGCATAATAAGTAAATGATAAAAATTTCAAAATGATTGCACTGCTTTAAAGCCCTTTGACCTTTAATAATGTGTGGATGCACCCTGATGTGCTACGCATTCTCCAACGCGCCTAGGCATGCTTCTGATCAGGTGGTCAATGTCCTCATGCGGTATCTCATTCCAGGCAACCACCAACTCCTCTCGAAGTGCTTCTAGAGTCTGAGGAGGACGTTGCAAATTGAGCAATCTCCTACCCATCATATCCCACACGTGCTCAATTGGGAATAAGTCGGGAGATCTTGCTGGCCATGGTAACAATGTGACATCATTATGTTGAAAGAAGTCTATTGTGACTCTTGCAACATGTGGTCGGGCATTATCTTGTTGGAAAGTTGGATCTGCCAGGGTGTCAAGATAGGGTAAAAGATGGGGTTCTAGAACTTCGTGGATATATCGCTGCGCGTTCATGTTACCTCTGATGAAGATTAAAGGTGACCTGGAACCATAAGCTATAGCACCACAAACCATAACTCCAACAGTGTGATGAACATGTCTTTCAACAAAAAACTGTGGATTCCTCCTTTCACCACGTCGCCTTCTAACCCTGGCACGACCATCGTGCATGCCTAAACAAAATCGAGACTCGTCACTAAAGACAATACTGTTCCATTCCTGATCCCAGAGTGACCATTGTCTGCACCACTCAAGGCGATTACGTCGGTGTTCTCGAGTTAAAGGGAGGACCCAGTGTGGCCGGTATGAAAACAAGCCAAAACTTCTCATTCGTCGGTAAACACTTCGCATGCCAATAGGTCTTCCGTGTTCTGCAAACCATTCATTTGCAATGGACCTGGTAGTGGAGAAACGGTCCCTTAAGGCCAATAATCTTAGGCGGCGATCTTCACGGTCTATTGTTCTTCGGCGGCGTCCAGTGCCCCTTGCTCTTTGCGTACGGCCTTCTCGAAGCCATGCCTGACAACACCTAACCACAGTGTCTACACTTCTTTGCACTCTAACTGCAATTGCCCGAAAAGAAAGTCCAGCTTCCCGAAGTCCCACTATAGGGCCCCTATCAAACTCACTAAGTTGACGAAATCGTACAGGTCTCCGTACTCTAGGCATCGTAACCGATCGTAAAGGATGTCAAGAACCAAAATCCGCCAACGTTGATTCTTTACTGCGGCTGAAATATTCATTTTTAGAGCGTTAGTGAATTAAAAAAAAGCAGTATAAAAACCGGAATGTCCAACTGGTAAGGCTGAAAATTTTTTCACTTGTTATTTACAGTAAGATAAATACATTCACCAACTTTTATTAAAATAAAACCATTTAAACTGGGTGTTCGGATTTATATGTCACTTAGTATATGTACATTAAAATCCGTTCTTAACTTGAAGAAGTATAGAAAATACAAAGGGTTACTATGGAAGTTTTGAAATATGACTTAACCCACATATGCCTACAGCTCAAATAAATTATAATAAAGTATGTGCAATGGTGTGGTATCAGGTTTTACTTCAGACTTGTGCACAGTGCAACGTTAAGTCTTGCTAAACCTCCAGGCCTGATATTGTTTTGTCAAACGCCTAGGTTTTTCGGTTTAATGCATGTTCAGAGAGAGTCGACCCACGAAGCAGAAGTCCTTCATTTTCAGGAACCGATGAAAATATCGACAGAATCCGGAAGCTTGTGCGTTCAGATCGCTGGTTGACAGAATGATCGAGCATGAATTAGATTTGACTCACAACATCGTTCAACAGATCAAGAAGGTTGTTGCATCAAGATAATGCGCCTTGTGACCCAGCAATGTCAATAAACGAGTTTTTGGCCAGTAAAAACATTCCTGTGGCTCCTCAGCCTCCTTATTCCTTGTGACTTTTTTCTTTCCCAACTTGAAAAATCACCCCAAGGGAATTTTGCGTGGAGTGTGGGGAGTGGAAGAACCGTTTCCAGCGCTGTGTGGCTTCAGAAGGAAGTTATTTTGAGCGTGACAATATGAAATTGTAATTATATTTGAATAACAAATAACTCTCATCATTTAATCTTCAGACATTGTGTAGTTTTTATCGTGTTTATAGGAACTATTTATATTATTCTTGAACTCAGTTCATTAAATTTGACTGTAATGATTTCTGTTGCATCTGGAACTCATTCTGTGGCTGTCCCGCTGATCAATCTCCATGTTCTGTTGGCCAGAACATCAGCAAACCTTTACTTCAACACATGTGGTTTCATTAAGTGGCCAGCAAAATATGGAGATAAAACACGTAAAGTAGTCGCGAATCTGTCAGTGACCGTATCCAAGATCCCAACACGCAAATTCCGTTCATTCTGCAATACTATAGAGACGGAATTCATGTGCGGATGCCAAACGCAGTCACCGATCACTTTACGAACATATAATGTATAACCATAAATATTAATGTATTTTTCTGTTTTAGCGATGTCAGAAAACTGGCTAGAGATTTTGTAGGGTTCAATGTTGACAAAATGATAGATAACTGCATAGACTTGGGTGTAATGGCAAATACAATACTGCCAACAACACAAAGATGGAGCCTGGAAAAATTAGTTGACCGTTTGGTATGTCTTATTGTATATAAAATCTATCATCTTAATTATCTTCTTCTTTCACAAAAAAAATATTTCTTTATACTTAGTCGTTATATAGTCCAAACCTTAACGACACTCGACCCGCGATGTGGATAAAAATGGTATTGGAGTGAGTACGGCAAAGGGGGAATACAGGACGTCAATTCTATTCAATTCTTTATTCACTGCCAAATAATCAGATTAAAGAATCTAGAATACTGATCCAAGCAGGCAGTTGAAAAAAAGAAAATGTGACGTTAAAACATGACAAAAGATCATTTAGTGATATTCAAAATACCCGACAATTTTAGAGAAATAATTTTTTTATTGAAAAAAGTTGGTGTGTTGATTTATTGTGGTAAATACCATTTTTCATTTTGTAGCTTGACTTGAAGATTAATAAAGACAAGAAAGTTAGACAAAGTAAATGGCACATAATTCCACTGTCCAATGCTCAGAAACAATATGCAGCAATCGATGCTTATGTAAGTTTATGACTACTCGTTCATGTCGCATGTTATTCAAGAAACTATTTTTCAGGCATCGTTATTGCTCTACCAAAAACTATTACAGGAAAAAGAGGTTAGGGAAAATCAAGAAAATTGTTGTGAGAACAAGATGTAGCAAGGGGTATAAGTAATTTATAAATATGTACTATTGATATGATAGAATTGTATGGTAGCCTAAAGTCGTTATGGTTATTGAAACATATGCCTTTAAACAGATGACTAGGGACAAGTATCCGTCAATTTTGCTGGAAGATAAAGAATTTTGTTGATTAGTATTTTTACAGCCAGTTAGTGTTTGGCATACATTGAACATGATGAATCGGCAATTTGTCAGCTGCATTCAAGGAATGGGTGAATGAGTGAAACAACAAAACTGCCTTTGTCCTCCAGTGGCACTTGTAACTTTATATGAAAGTGACCTAAAGGTAGTGTTTGACAGGTGTTAAGCAGGCCCTTAATATGACTAATAATTTTTTGCGTATTATGATCATACCAATACAATATTTCTAATTATATAAGATGATTTATACATCCACTTTTTTGATGCTATATTTATACAAAAAGAACTTTTAAATGCTGATATGTATATATTTATAATGTTATTATGTTACACTAATAATTTCTAAGAACTCACCCTTATTTAGCTTAGTCGTACTAATAATTATATTAAGAAAAAATATACCACCATTGAGGCACTAATACGTTTTTTTTTTCGTAACAGGACAGTGTATATGTAACATCTGAAACTCATCCTTTGGTTTCCATGTCGATAATCCCCCATGTTTGTCTTGCCAATAAAACTACACACCAGTAGATTTGCAGAAAAAAAGTTAAATGAAAAATTTTTAGCTATATAGTGTCCGATAAATTTTGATTTTTGAAATGGGACACCCTGTGTTTGATGTTTCATTTTTTGTTAAGACTTGTCAATCATCTTGTATAGTGTGTTACTAGAATAGTCTCAAAAGCCCGCATAATGCCCAAATTAGACATCCTTTTGGGAGCTGAGCTGCCTACCCCAGGCGGTCCAGGCCTATGCTAGTTGTGCGTGGCACCATCTTAAAATTTCTAATGATAGCTTCTGTCAATCTCGGCATGTTACCTTTCAGACTATTGTCTGTCACACTTTATAGGAATCTGAAAATTAAAGAAAAAACAAACGAAGTGTACCTGGAATACATAAAATATTGTCAAAGAAAAACATACAATGTAACACAGCTCTTGAACATTCAGATAAATAACCAAATCTTGCAATTTTCTGATTCTGCAAAAATTCTTGGTGTTGTTTTTGATACAAAATTAAGGTTTATTGAACATGTTAAAAGTCTACCTCAGAAAACCTACCTACGGCTGCGCACTTTTATAGCAAACAGGTATTTACTAAATTTTAAGTTGCGTAAAAAACTATCTGAAGCATTGGTCATATCTATACTAAATTATTGTAATATCGTATACGTTATTCAAGTTATTTAAAACAATTGTATACGATTCATTTTTGGCTTACGTAAATTTGATCATGTATCAGCAAAATATCCCGTTCTAATCTGGTTAAAAATTAATGACATGGTCAAGTATCACTATTCAGTTTTTGTTCACAAATTGCTGCTCACGTCTAAACCTTATTACTTGAAGGAAAAAAATTCATTTAATAATGATGTTCACTGTAGAACTCTCAGAGAAAATAATATTAGAATACCCCTGCATACGTCTACACTTTTTAAACGCAGTTTTTCTTACAATGTCGCTATTATTTATAATGACCTTCCTAAAGTATATAAAGAATTTTCATTACCTGTCTTTCGACAAAAAGTTAAAACATTATTACTCAACCCTCCAAACATACAGGGTGTCCGCAAAGTTGGGGTTTTCCTTTTCAGAAACAACTACCCTTGAAATAACAAAGGTAATGTGTAGTGAAACGAGGGCGACCAAGTAAAAAAAATAAAAGAAAAAGTACTCACTCTCCAGTTGACGAGAAGGGCTAAGTACGTCTGCCCGAAATCATACCGCTCCAACAGAAAATGAAATCAGCTGATGCGCTACCGAGCAGACGCCGGCGGTGGTGCAGACCACGAACAGAGGTAACAAATATGACCATCGTGCAGAAACCACATTGATTGTCTTACACTTAATGGCACATCTTCTAACAAGGAAGGCAAAATGTTGCGTAAAAAGTCTAGGTATTGCATCCCGCCCAATCGATTTGGGAGAATAAATGGTCCAATGAGCATACCGTTCACCATGCCAGCCCAAACATTCACCGAAAATGTTTGTTGAAAATGTGCCCGACGGACAGCGTGCGGATTTTCTACTGACCAAACATGAGTATTGCGAAAGTTATTCACCCCATTACGCGTGAACGTAGATTCGTCTGTCACCAATATGCACTTCAAAAAGTCCGGATTATTGTCATGTTGATGCAACAACCACTCACAAAACCGCACTCTTGCTGGAAAATCGTCAGGTTGAAGGGCTTGTACACGTTGGACGTGAAACGGATACAGCCCCTCTTCACGCAGCGTTTGCCACACTTTAGTTTTTGATACTTGCACTTCTCTAGCCACGTCTCTAGTGCTTGTTGAGGGATTCTCGTCTACGCGATTACCTCTACACGCGTGACCGTAACTGTCGGTTGAAGGTTGCATACTGACCTGACACACTGACCGACCCAGTTCTGTCGTCGGGTCGAGCTAGTATCCTAGTACCACTCGGGGACGTCGCGAGTCGCGGCTACAGGACGGTATTCAGATATTTTTGATGTTGCAGAGCGCTTTATCTCGGTTCCCTTAAGGCATTGGTGTATATGGTACTAAGAAAAATTGCTTATGTTTTCAAGATCTACACGTCGTGTAAAGGAAAACCCCAACTTTGCGGACACCCTGTATAATTTACGGAATCATTCATTTCTTTTTTATTCCATCTTTAATTCAGATTAGTAATGTTTTGGTGCATTTGGGTTTGGAAAGTATGCCTTTTTCTCTTTTTTTAAATTTTACTTTCGATGTAATGAACCAAATCTGTTTGTGGATAGTGTATTCTTTTGAACATCTGCTAGAGACTATATGATGGTTAAGTGTAAGAGTAGCAGCATGCTAAACTTCGCCATGTAAGTCTGACATTTGGCTATACTACAATGTAATTGTGGATAAATAAAGACGTCTATTATTATCACTATTATTAAGTGCCATGTACTGAAGGTCAACTTTGTAACCGAAACGTTTACTACATTAAATAAGAATTTGAAATATACGTGGTTTCACTGGCCAGACAAGCATATCAGATTAACAGTGTACACATGTTTTGAACTACTACTTCTCACGCCTACTGGCGAAAATGGGATTGCATTTTTAACCTGTTACATGACATGTACATCTCGAAAAACCATATCACTTATTTCCTTCTAAATGTCGGTGAAAGCACTGCTCAGATTGTGATACAATTTTGACATAGTTACTATTACTCTAAAGTAGGCTAAGATGCAAATCGATCCAGCGACAGCGGAGCTACCTCCAAAAAATAAACTCAAACTTACCTTTCAGAGGCTACTGTATTTTTTTAAATACGTTTGAAGGGTGAACAATTGGGGGTTGCAGAGGTGGGGGAGGGTCTATCTCAAGATTTCTTAGTATATAATAATAATAATAATAAAGGGTCTTTATTGCACTAAACATTTAGTTCATTACGAGGGGCAAGGTTTAGCGTGAGCTATTCTTCCACCTAACCCCGTTTTGATAATTTATACGAAATTACATAGAAATGGATTAACTATGGTACATACATTTAAATCGGTTTGTTTTAAACCAACAAAACTGTGATCATAGGGATTTTTTTTAAAATCAACCATCATTAACCAATAAAAAAAAAATATAAGTGGCAATTCATGTTTGCGAGATAAGATCGGACTTCAATTTTAATTTAAAAGTTTTAATATTCGCAATATTTTTAAAATGAAAATTAATACTGTTGTAATATTTAACGGCATTGTAAATAAAGGTTCTTGAATATAAAACAGTACGGTGGACTGGCAGTATAAAGAAAGCCTGATGCCTTGTGTTAATATTGTGCGTGCTGGATCTGGTAATAAATTTTTCAAACAGGTATGGGGTGATGCGGATAGTAAAATACGATGCACAGAACTTATAACAGAATATTTGTATAGATTATCTATAGTTAACCAATTGAGGTCAGAATACGTATGCGATATATGATCAAATTTCCTCAAATTATTTATGTACCTACTACAAGTATTTTGCATTATCTGTAGACGTCTTTTATTCGCAGCAGTTAGGCAGGGGTAATAAATTATTAGCCCATACGAAATCTTAGACAATACCAAGCTTTCACATATAGCTGTTTTTTCAATTGCTTACCAGTGATGCAATTGTTTGCAAATAGAAGCCGGAGCGAACCGTAACATTGCCTCAAAACGTGCTGTAAGTGTTTTTCAAACCGCGGGTCTTCATCTAAATGTAAACCCAAATTTTTGGCACATTCTGAATAAGGGATGATTTTTCCTTCGATTTGAACGTCAATTTTGCTTATAAGATTTGCTCTTATTTTGATATTACCAAATAGCAAGGCTTTACACTTCGATGGGTTGAGCTTGATGTTATGTAACTTGCAATAGCGGCTAATAGTTGACAAATCTTCATTGATTTGGTCTTGGGCTTCAGAGTAGCGTGAGGCTGGAAAATCATACTTTATCTGAGTGTCATCGGCAAAGAATTGCACATGACAGTGCTTGACAGTATCTTGAAGATCCGCGGTGTATAACAAAAAAAGCAATGGAGCTAATACGGAGCCTTGAGGTACTCCGGACTGAACTTTATTTGGCAAAGACATCTGACCATCAACCACAGCCACTTGCGACCGATCACTTAAATATGACTTGATGAGCTTACAAGCAAGATCATCAAAACCATAGTAATGACATTTGGCTACAAGCAGTTTGTGATTCAATGTATCAAATGCCTTCGAGAAATCTAAAAGGACAAGAGCACACAAGTTTTTATTGTCAAGCGCGGAAATTATGCCATCGATCAAGTCCACTAAAGCCGTAGTAGTGCTATGATTTTTTTTAAAACCCGATTGATGAACACTTATATTATTTTTGTCAAAGTACTCGTAAATCTGGATATAAGCTGCGCGTTCCAGTATTTTGGATAGAAGAGGCAAAAGACTTACCGGTCGTAGGTCATCAAATGACAAAGGATTCGGGGTTTTAGCGAGTAGTGGTTTTACCATTGCTGTTTTCCACGCGCTTGGAAAATAGCCTCTCTCTAAGCATAGATTGATAATATACAACAAATAAAGATTTATAGCGGGATAGCATAATTTTAACATTCGCAACGTAACTCCGTCATTACCAGATGCATTGGAACCAATATGACTGATTATAGATGCTAAGCTTGTCAAGTCAATTGAATTGAAAGAAAACCTCTCAAAACTGTCTGTTGTTACGATAATGAATTATTTTGTCAATACATTCTTCATCACTATTCTTAAAAATTGAGGTAAAGTAATCATTGACTTTACATGGATTGGAAAGGTGGACCGGAATGTTCGGAGGATTTTTATTACTTTGTATGTGCATTTGTTTCAATGATCTGTAAAGAGATTTAGAGTTTTTATTTTTATGTAGATATTCCAAATAGGCTGATTTTTCTTTGCGTAATGCTAGCAAACAGTAATTTCTGAGGCTTTTATAGCTGTTCCAGTTTTCTTCTGATGGATCCATTTTATATTTCGAGAGAGCTTCACCCCTTTCCCTGAATAACATTTGTACGTTTGCAGTACGCCAAGGCGCTTTTGGCTTTGTGACTCATACTGTTCGTTCAGGACAGTGCAAGTCAAAAAGTGACAATAAGTTTGATGTCAAAAACTCAACTTTGCTTTCTATGTCGCTGAAGTAAGGTATGCTTTCCCAGTCTATCCGATAAAGGTCATTATCAAATGCCTCTAAGTTAATGTTGTTAAAGTCTCTGTATGTTACAAATTTTGGTTCACATTTGATTGAACATTTAACATCACAATATACCATCTGATGGTCACTAAAGCTATCAGCATTCATTGTACCACTAGAAACATATGAAGTAGCACTTATAAATATAGGATCTAATAATGTAGAAGTTCTCTCTGTTATTCTAGTCGGTTCACTTATAATTTGGGTCATACCATATATTTCAAAACAATCATTTATTTTATTTTCCACGAGCATGTAAATATTAAAATCACCCAACACCAGTATATTGTCATATTCGCTTATGAGTTGTGGTAGTAGATTATCCAAGAATTCTAACATACTTGATAAGTTTTCATTTGGAGGCTTATAAATAACTCCTACACAGTAACTTGTATTACCAATTTTAAACGAGAGAAACAGAAATTCTATTTTCAGCTCGTTGTAGCTATTATCAAAGCTCAGTACCTGTACATTGCCGACAGTATCGCTCTTTATAAAAATAGCAGATGTGTATACTCCTAACGTTGGTAATTTTACGCACCTCTTAGACATATTCGCATAGATTTCTCCATACATTTGCCCTTAAGACAGAGAAATTTCTAGATCGCATCGTGAAATGGGCGAGGACTAGCGACTACTTATTGCATGGACAATTTGAAAGACGATTCATTTAATTTCTTTGTTATGCAAGTTCGTAGTTAACATTCTTCTAAGAAGCGCTATCTCGTTCAAACAACCTTTTATAAATTCATGACTGCGTTGCGTGAGAAGTACAGAGTCGATCTACTTCACGCCATTTTGTCTGAAACACTTTTTAGGTATATGCAGGTGGTTTGTATTTTATTAAGTTGTTGGTAACAAATAAAACAGATCCATGTTACATTTTTTAAGAAAGTCTATTAAATCATACAAAAAACCATGAAACCACGACGAACTTAAACATTATGAGATTCCAGTTAGAATATTTCACTGAATGTTGCTTCAGTCTTGATGTATCTTCTCACTTAAAAATAAATATTACTCTTGTGGTTCTTTATTGGAACCCGAATCTCCAGCTGCCGTATTTTGGGATAGACCCCTTATAGACAGATCATACACTACTTCTTCAATCTTCTTAACATCATACTTTAACGCATCAAACCTCTTTCTCAGAGAGTCATTCTTGAGATTCAGTAGTCTGAAACCAGCATTCAGCTGTGCTACAAATTTGGATATTTGGAGCGGTCGTTCATAGTCGCCGAATGTCACCGAATTTACAGCAAACCTTGCCTAAAATTATTTATCCAAGTTAATAATGAATTACATAAATCAGGGTCGTGAGCTCGTACCAATTCTGAAGCCATGTTTAAGATTCCCATTAGATAATCTTCAAGGTCTAAATGAATATTGGCCTTATCGTTTACTGGAATCAATAATACCTCATCAGGATCACAAAGTTAATATGAATGTCTCATCAAAATCATAAACGTATAACGTCAAGAAATAATTATAATGACGTGCAGTGCAACGTGAGTACTTTACGATTTCGTTGGTAAATCACGGAAGTACATCACATGAAATTACTATTGTACCACGAAATGGTGTAGTGTAGAGCATCTGTAAAACTAGTACAGTGGACCCCCGATAATCCGGCGCCCCCTGTAATCCGACATGTCTTTGAATATGTATTACATACATACGTATTTGACAATCTTGATGAAATGTGATATTTTAGACCGCTTAAATCGCAACGAAACTTTCAGTAGTCTAGCAAGTGAATACGGCGTAGGCCGATCTACAATTTATGACATTAAAAGAAACCACAAGAAGATCAAGAAGTTCGTGTCAACTACTGACTACTCTTTGTCAGTCGTGGAATACGTTACCATCATCAACTATTAAATCGTCTTGGAAAAAGTTATGGCCAGATATAGTCACCACTCCAAGCAACGTTCCACAAATCAGTGTTACTTCGGAAGTTATAGAACAAGTCGCTAGTGAAACGCAGATAAATCCGGAAGATTTGGAAATCTGGTGCCGTGGAATGGATAAAGAGGAAAATGTTTTTCATGAAATGTCTGACGAAGAGATTATAAAAGAGGTTTCCAATTATACAACAAACAATCCGGAAAATAACGACGATGTGATTGCAACTGCTCCACAAGTCACAGCACAAGACGCCTTTGAGCTAGGTTTACAATGGGCTGAAGAGAATGGTACATCCTACAACGAACTTTTACTTTTGAGAAGACTGGGGGACAAAGCTCTGATCTCGCGTTATAACAACCTTAAACAAAAAAAAATTGATGAATATTTCCAAGCTTCATAGCTTGATAAATTCATTAATGATTTTGATTAATAACTCTTGATTATTTTGGTACATATGCATGTGCATTTATGCTTAATTTTATAATAAAACGTAAGCTCTATTGTTATTTAATTTACTAAATTCGACATACATAAACTATGTATGATTTGTACTTCAAAGTACATACATATACATAACATATATAATCTTACCATTGGATATGTAATTTGTCGGATTACAAGGTACTCTTTTGTAAAAAATTCCGGACTATAGGGGGTCTTAGGCAGTGCTCTATAATCCGACAAATTCGATAGTCCGACACTGCCCTGCATAATGTTTGTCGGATTACCGGAGGTCCACTGTAGTCCATAGTACATAAGCCCTTTTTATAAAGTGCATATCTCTCCGCAGCCAGCAAATCAATTGGCGGGATGCCAGCTACCACCAGCACTGCATAGGTCGACACCATTCTGTAAGCGCATACCACGCACTACTTTTCGGTAGTATTAGCCGTCTGTATTTTATCCTCAAGGCCTTGTTCTATATAGGAGCTCCGAACAGCATAATCGAGTTTGCCACCCTTGCCAAAATCCTGCGCCTCTCACTAAAGGGGCCTTCGACACATGGCATTAGCCGTATCAGGCAAGCAACAACCTCATTTACGGTGTCAGTGGTGCGGCTTATATGTTGAATCATCGTCAGATATTCGTCAAGCTACCCGCCCAGATACTTGATTGCATTTTGGCTCCGAATCTCGGCATTATCAACCACTAATGAAGTTAGCTTCTGTCTGCCAGAAAGTACAGGGTCCGCCAAAGGAACCTGATGAGTTTCAATATGAAACTACAAATGTATCTTTCAAGATATTTATTTTCATGTATAAGTAGTCGAAAGTGTATTACATGCCATTTTATGTATGGAAAATAACTTCGGTCAAATGATGTCCTTCACTGCGGACACAGTCTTCCAAACGGTTTCGCACATTCCCCATTACGCGCTGTACCATACTCATCGGAATCGCGCTAATTTCATTGCGAATGTTTTCCTTCAATTCTTCAATGGTCCTTGGGCTCGTTAAATATACCTTGCTTTTGAGATAACCCCATAACCAATAGTCACAAGCCGTGAGTTAGGGAGACCTTGCCGGCCAAGAAACATCTCCATTCCGCGAAATGACTCTTCCTGGAAACATTTCTCGCAGTCGAACCATTGTTGCTCGTGCTGTATGCGCTGTGGCGAAATCTTGCTGAAACCATACAGTATTTAAATCTATGTTCCGTCGACGAAGCTCTGGTTCCAAAAATGTGTTTAACATTTCCAGATAACGTTGCGAATTAACCGTGACAGAATTTCCAGCATAGTCCTCAAAAAAATAGGGTCCAATTATGCCGAATCGCGACACTCCGCACCAAACAGTAACCTTGCGACTATGAAGGGGTCGCTGGTGAAGTTCTCTCGGATTCTCTGCACACCAGTAGCGAAAATTCTGCTTATTTACGTAGCCTGATAACTCGAAATGCGCCTCATCAGACATAATTAAGCCACCTAAAGCGTTTTCATCCAAAAGTTCCAGAAGCTGGTTGCTTGCAGTCAAACGGTTCACAAAGTCTTCAGCTGTCAGTTCTTGAACCATCGCTAATTTGTAAGGGTGATAATGTAAATCCTTATGCAAAATACGCCGCACTGTTGTTTCTGAAAGCCTTAGACTAATTGCTTGTAGCCTAGCTGAACGACGTGGACTTTGCTGCACCGCTGTTCGCACCCTCTCAATATTGGCTGGAGTCCGAACTGTTCGACGCATTCCTGGTGGCTTAGCTTTCATTGCTGATGCAGATCGACGAAAATTTTTGACCCACAACTTAATTGTGTTACGGCATGGAACAGAACCCTGACGTCCGACATTGAAATGTGTACGAAATAGACGCTGTGTAATGATCACCGAGTCGTGATTTTTAAAATACGTCTCGACAACAAATGCGCGGTGTTCACTTGTCCACAGCTCCATGACTACTGAAATGGCATCTACTACCGATGTCTTGCCCACTGTAACCGATGTTCTCGTCAAAAAACAGCTTCGTACTATCCATTCTGAAAACGGCAGGTTCCTTTGGCGGTCCCTGTATAACCACTTCCGTCTTCTCACAAACTCTTCTGGCTGTTGCTGAGTCACAGTGATGGGGAGTTTTAGCTTTAACTACTCTTAACCAGTCTCAGAAGGCGGAGAGCATATGAGATGTTCCCAAATCATTTGTAACTTGTCATGTGATTCACCATGGAATCTAGTAGTGTTTGTAGTGTATTCTAGAAACTTAACTGCGAATTTGCAAAGGTAAGTTTAAAAGTCATGCATGGGTTGATTCAATAGTTATTGAGATCCTTTATCATCTGGCTTTCATTGATCCAATCCTGTTTAAAATACTGATGCCAGTACTGTATGTGACAACTGTAATTTATGTTTTTTCATAAGAAATGATTAAAAAATGTGAGTAGTTATAACAGACACAATAATCAAAATATGTTTTCCACATTGTAGCTTCACGTCACTAATTTGATAAAGAATATTACAAGGCATCTTTTCTTAAGTGAACCTATCAGTATCTTAATATTCCAAAAAATATAAAAAAAACTTTTCGATTACACCATATGTACTTACTTCCAAGTATTTCTGCAGCTGTTTCCTTGCTTATTAATATTCCAGTCTCTATGAATACAACCAAAGCCGCTAGAAAGCATAGCCTCTGTGTAGCAAACCTCCAGTGATCATTATATCGGTAATACTGATTGGCAGGTATGATGTTATCAAGAGCTGCATATCCTTGCCTCACTTCCTCAAATATTTGTCTGGCATTTAGACAGGCTGCATTTACTTGAGAAAAATGAAGCTGTTGTTAAAATTTATGGAAAGCCACTGTCTAGTCATATCACATGTTTAACGTAGAAATGACTGAGCAAAGTAGACAGCAAGAGAGCCAGAATTGGCCTTTAACAGCTACTTTGCTAAAAGATTCAAATATTTTTGTCTGTCCAACCAATCATGTACAGTGCCAGACAGTAAAATGTCTCTGTCCATGGTATAGTTAGTGTTAGAGGCAAGAGTATAGGGTTAGTCTATACTCGGATTTTGGCACATAGCTACTATTATGACGATGATAGAAAAGCTTTTTAAATGCCTAAACCAGTAGTGGTGGAGGAATAAAAATTAAAATTTTGTAATGTCAAGAAACATGGTTTTCAACGTTTTCTCATTTTTGGGCCTAGTACAAAAGTTTATGAGGATCAACATTTAAAAATAAGTTAAGTATGTACCATGATTATTTTAGTTGTCTACTCATGTTTACTATAAACCAGTACAATTACAGATATGCACAAGGTGCTACTTCAAATTTAGTTTAAGCTTCTCAATTATTCATGGACTATACCCAAATAAAATACGCATGTTTGTGAAAATTATTATACTACTAAACTTTAGTTCAAAGTGATAAGAGAATTCATGATAAGCACATTTACAATGTACATCATAATAGAGATTTTTTAGTGCAACAAACATGACAAATCATTAAGCCATCCATTACGTTATTTTTGGCAGCGATAGCAAATAATGGAGACGATAGTCACTGCAATCATGATAGGATACGTATTTTTTGTTTAATTAAATGTGAAGCTATCCAAAATCATTGTACAAATTTTGATGTTTTGGTAATATTTGTGTTATGACTGTTCGAAACTAGCCAAAAAATTAATATGACTGGAATCATAGAATTACAGAGCAACAAGTGACCACGAAACAGCAGAACTCAAATAAAAAGCTCTCTTGCCACATACAGGGTGTTTTAAATTCGAACATCACATTGGGATTTCGGAATCTGTAAGAGATACGAAGTTGCTTAAATGGGGGCAAAGTTGCGTATTTAGGTAATCAACAAAATGCCGTTTAGAAAATTTCGAAGTTCGAAGTACTTCCGGGGAGAGACGGAAAAACTGAATTTTCCCATAATCGTTTTTTCCTGACCTTGATTCTCGTGGGGTTTCAAAATAAATTGCACATTGACACTGCCACTTTTTCTCCTCATACAAAACGGCGTTTCGTCTCTTGTCCTCCAGCATCAGTTTTAGTTTTTCTTATATATATACTGGATTTTTGCACAGATCAATAGAGTTCTTAATTCTAATTACAAAAATGTATAATGAGTCATACATTCACGTTGGCAAACCTTAGTTATTTCAAAAAAAGGCAGAACTTCCTAGGTAGGCCTTGAAATTATCAGATAGGCATTTGTTGGGCCTACCAGATTTGTCCCAAAATCACTTTTATTTTTTCCTGACTTTATTTGAGATGGGATGGGATCAGAATAAATTGCATATTGTCTTTGTTACTTGTAGGGGGTAGTTAAATGTTCAATTCAATATCCCTTCTTTCAACTTCTATCTCCAACTTTGTATTTTTTTATATGGATGCTATATTGGAATTTTGTTCATTTAAATGGAGTTTTCAGTCCTAAATTCAGTAATGTATTTCCTTCGTTGGCCATGAGTTTCTTGTTAGATGAAAATTTTTAGAATAATGTATGGTGAAGCCTGAACACAAAATAAAAATGTCATTGACGGTAATAACAATAATCACCATACATAAGCAGAGATAAACAATAGCAGATGTTCAAAATATTGTCTGTCATTTTGTATGTGAAGCCTGAATCTTCTCTATTCATTGCTCACTGCTCGATTTATTTCTCTTCAGAGTCTTCCAAACTCTGTTGCTATATTTAATTTGATGTCTGGTCTGGTATATGAAACAAATGAAACCATAATTTCAAGGTCTATCTAGAAACGTCAGTTTTTCTGGAATGTGTAAGGTTTGTCAATGTCAATGTATGACATTATACATTTTTAAAATTGATATTAAAAACCCTATTCATCTGCGCAAATATCCAATATGGCGTTCCTCACCAAAAATAAAGTTAATACTGGAGGACAAGAGATGACAGGTCATATAAAAATTCTAATTATGTCGTCTTATATATACTGTATACAAAGAGAATAAGTGATCATGCGGAGGAAGGTATATAACAAAAAGTAGGAAAAATCCGCAAAAAGGATAAAAGTGGATTCGAGCAGAAAATAGGATAGGTAACCCGAGCGATACGTATTTCTGCTGGTTGGCTTCATCAGGCCCAAAATGAATGTAGATATGCAACTACAAAAGTAGACACACATGTCCACACATCCGGATCCGGGTGTAACCTGAGGAAACAAAGATGGAGAGGGAAAAAATCGACACACGAAGTCCACAACAAGAGGCAACCTACACATTGTAGTATAAAATGGCTAGAAGACCTCGAATTTTCAAGGAGACATCTAACCACAACCACGCGGCCGGTTATAGCCACTTGCTGTGGTACTTCAAGCCCAAAGGATCTACATAGAGAAAGTGATCATGCTGAGAAACGTATATAACAAAAAGTAGGAAAATAATGTTGTGGACTTCGTGTGTCGATTTTTTCCCTCTCCATCTTCGTTTCCTCAGGTTACACCCGTATCCGGATGTGGGGATATGTGTTTGTACATCTACTTGTGTAGTTGCATATGTACATTCATTTCAGGCCTGATGAAGCCAACCAGCAAAAATACGTATCGCTCGCGTTACCTATCCTATTTTCTGCTCGAATCCACTTTCATCCTTTTTGCGTATTTTGCCCATTGTTTTCCTACTTTTTGTTTTATATACATAGTCGTGCCATAAGTTCTGTCCCTCGTTTTCAAACAAGTGTAGACCTGTTAATACTTGTCCGATTGTTTACATTGTGGTGTCAGTTGATTAAGCGCTTTTCGGGTAATTACATATACCTCAGTTTGTATTGATCTCTCGAAGCATAACGATGGAGTGGGGCAAGGCAGAGAACCGTATTGCAGTGATAGCTTTACATAAGTGTAATCACAGTGCTAGTCAGATTTTTGAACTCTTACGCGGCCTTCAAATATCGCGTAAATTTGTGTCTAGAACCATTCAGCGGTACAATGAGACGTCCTCTGTTGATGACAGGCCAAGAAGCGGAAGACCTCGTCAAGTAAGGACTCCAGCAGCCATCAAAGCCGTAAAAGCCAGGATTCAAAGGAATCCACTCCGGAAGCAGAAGATCCTATCCAGGGAAATGAAGATTCCTGTCCGGACGATGTCGCGCATCATTAAACAAGACCTAGGGCTAGGGGCTTACCGGAGACGTACGGGCCAGCGACTTACGGCCACCTTGCGACACATCAGGGCGACAAGATCCAAGAAGCTCTTGGAGAGGTACGCAGCTGGGGGATTCCGAAAGATTTTGTTCACGGATGAGAAAATCTTCACCATAGAAGAAAAATTCAACCGACAGAATGACAAAGTGTATGCAAGGAGTTCACAGGAAGCTTCGGAGATCATTCCGAGAGTTGAGAGAGGCCACCACCCTGCGTCAGTCATGGTTTGGTGGGGGGTGTCCTACGAAGGGGTCACTCAGCTCCATTTCTGTAAACAGGGCGTGAAAACAAAAGCGGCAAACTATCAGAGCGACATACTGGATCCTATCGTCAAGCCTTTAAGTGGTACATTGTTTGCCAACCAACACTGGGTCTACCAGCAGGATTCCGCCCCCGCTCACAAGGCTAAGAGTACGCAGCGCTGGCTGGAAAGCAATGTGCCAGAGTTCATTGCTGCGGAAGATTGGCCCTCAGGGAGTCCGGACCTCAATCCTTTAGACTACAAGTTGTGGGACCTGCTAGAGCAGTTGGCCTGCTCCAAAGCCCACCGTAATATCGAGTCCCTGAAAGCGGATTTGATCCGATCAGCGGCAGCTATTCCTTTGGAAGCTGTGCGTGCAGTGATAGATGAGTGGCCCGCGAGATTGAAGCAGTGTGTGAAGGCCAAGGAGGGACATTTTGAATAAAACTGTTTGATTATGAATTCTAAAAATGTTGTCGAATAAATAATATCTTTCATATAAATATATCTTATCTTGTTTCATTTTTATCATGAGATTATCATGGGACAGAACTTATGGCACGACTACGTATATTTATCTATATATATATATATATATAAACTAGCACTACAGGCCTAGTAGGCCCATGGCTTAATTGACAATCCTACATCATTCTTCTCTATTCATTACTCTTCTTTCCCAATCACTTATGTTTAATTTCCTGTCATCTTATTGGGGAGTTAAAGTAGCAATGCTAATATGCAATTTATCTTGGAATTCCATCTCAAATAAGGTCAGGAAAAAATAAAAGTGATTTTTGGATAAATCTGGTAGGCCAAACAAGTGATTATCTGATAATTTCAAGGCCTACCTCGGAACTTCTGCTTTTTCTAAATAGTTGAGGTTTGGCAACATCAATTTATGACATATTTACATTGTTGGAATCAGAATTGATCATCTGTGCAAAAATCCAATGTTTTTTCTATAAGAAAAAATAAAGTTGATGCTGGAGAACATGAGACAAAATATATTGAAATTTTAATTATGCCATCTTGTAGATGAGAAAAAGTGGCATGTTAATGTGTGATTTATTTTGGAATCCCACTACAAATAAAGTCAGAAAAAACTAAAATGATTTTGATAAAATTTTGTTGATTATCTAAATATGCAACTTTGACCCCAATTAAGCGACTTTGTATCTCTTATAGTTTCCGAGATCTCAATGGTGAGGGTCGATTTGAAACACCCTGTATAGGTACGTCATAATGCATTTAGAACATGGCTATTTCTTGCATTTATTTTGATCTGTGATCTGAAATTCATATTTCTATTATATTTTAACCAATATGTTTTGATAACATGAAATTATTTTAATTAGGCTATCCCAGCTTTATGAATTCTAGCCTTCCCTATAAGGGAAAAAAATAGCCTTATTCTTCATAACTAATGGGAGCTTCTCCTATTTAGATAATGGAGAATGAAGAATTTGCAAGCAACTGTGCAAAATGAGACTCATGTCTTCTTCTTCAGTTTATCTCCACCATCAGTATGTCGACCATTTTCTCTCCTTTAGAGATATGAATATGAGGTACACAGCACAAAGTGCCACTTATTGCCAGAATCAGCCACTGCAGCAGTGCGAGCAGCAAGCTTTAAGATATTCCATTCTACTTTAAAACAGCTGGGATACTATGACAGTAAGATGATGATGAGGTACTTTCAAGGTTGCACTTTGTCAAAAGATTAAAATGTCAATAATCTCTTCATCCAACTGCTCATGCATGGTGTTATTACATCTTTATTGGGAGGATTGCTAGTCATTCAGCTTTTTTTATCAAAATATAAATAATTCTGGTGTATTCTTTTGAGAAGACCAGTTTTAAATGTATTATCCTCAAAATGGTCAAGAACTGTTGAGGACTATCTCCATAAAGGACTTCAATTAGTTCTCATTAGAAACGATTAATTTTGTTTTTAACCAAATGGTTTAATATAGCAGAAAGAGGACTGAAAAAGTCTAGTCCTGATCCCTCAGTACATAAAGCCTAATAATGATTGCACTCACATTGTTCACAATTTGGTTCACGATGAATGACTTGCAATATAGTCGTAATTTCCCTCAAAGGTTTTTCTATGTCTTTCATTATTTTTCTTATTTCCTGAAAAAAAAATGTGTGAATGTAAAAATGCGGAATCCCGGTTTTCTAGCATACCTCTCTAATATCTTGTTCAGCGTTTATGTAGTCTTGAAATGGTGTGAATATTTCAGTAATTATTTTGTTTGGTGTAGACATTCTTGTCGAAAAAATATTTCGACCATAAAATAATATATAAACAACTTTCGACGACCAGAAAAGTGTTAGGTTAAAAAATACGACGCATCAAATCAACCATCAGCACAGAGTTGAATTCCATGTAATGCGGGTGCCACACGATGCTTCCAACGTTGTATACAACATTGTTTACAACGTTCGACACCCCACAATAATTGGCAAGTGTGTCTCCTACACGATGGGATGAACTTTTTAGTCACGGACGTTCGACGCATGATGGCGCCAACGTCTTTTATCGGTGTCAGTGTCACGCTTGAACCTTTAGAACTGAAGAAAAAATTATACAAAATGAACGATGAAACAATTTTTTCGAGCGCCGCAAAATACTTTCAGATCTGTCTTCAGCGACCAAAACTTAAGTCTGTCAGAAGCCTCAGAAATGTCAAAAAACGAAGATTGACCGTTTTTTGTTTGTTTTTCGACGATAACTGTGCCGCGATTTTAAAAAACTGCAGAGCTTTTTCCTCACTTTAGTAACCTAGGGTCAAAATGTCATCAAAATGATAGTCCTTTCAGAGTTATCATTTATTTAATCGTCTTCGTTAGTTATGAAATGCAAGTCAATATATTTCTCAGTTAGTCTTGCATTGCAACAGGACATTATAATGAAACAACTGTATGCTGTAATGCTTTGTATTTACACTAATTTACTTCATTCTCCTCAAAAGTTAGTTACGGAACATACATTATTATGAATAGGTACATATACAAATCAAAATACTTCCCACATACCACTACTTCACTACAATCACAGCAAACAAGTAAAAGTTTTTCGCCGCTCCTGGTTCTAACCAAAACGTGACATCTCGTGTGGGAGCGTAACGAACCATGCCTCCAACGTTGTAACGTCCTTTGACGCGGGTCAAATTTACCGACAAGAGCCGGACCGTGCCATGTGGCGAACGTTGGCGACATGCAGTCCGTCAGCGCTCTCGCACACGATGTGGCGAATGTACATGTGTCCAACGTTGTAAGGTATTCGCCAGATCGTGTGGGACCGATTTTATTCACATGTTAATCAAAGACAACACCGCTGACTTATGTCATTGTCAGCAACCATTTGTTTAGGATCTGCCATGGTTGCCAGTTCTTACATATCAATTTTTGATTGCTACACTTTCATATACAGAGTGTCCCAAACATTACACTTCAAAGTGACACGGGCGGTAGATTTGCTTCAGGTTAATCACATGGTCAAAATCAAAATCACTGTATTTTGCTCCTTTTTTGCCTGTTATGGTTATAAAGAACTCCTTCCTTGTGACTTTTTTCCTTGGACGCAATTAATAGTTGGTTGAGGCGACCGAGTTTTCATTGAAAACTAGCAAGGTATGCTAAAAAATCTTATTACATTTACTTTCAATGCAAAAACCTTTACCAAAGCATGACCTTAAAAACTAGCTATTTAATGCTCTTTCAAAAATAGTATATTGTTCTTAGTTTCTTTTTACTAAAAACTGAATAATTATAACTTTTGTCATTGAAGTCGTAGTACTTGTGAAGTACTACAAATAAAAATTGATTAGTGCAACTGCCTTTTGTGTTCAAACTACGACTTTGCAGTTGCTGTAATAGATTTTTATTTTAGCAAATGTCTGAAACAGCTATCCATTATACTTTTTTATTAATTTTCGTATGCAGGCATCAAAATAATGGACAGAGGTTGTATTTTTTTGCTTTTTACAACATTCAAATCAAATAAAGAATTAGGAATCATTATTAACATCTTCTAAATGACAAAGAAATTGACATCTTGTAATGTAAATATTGCCTGGAATAAATGATCATTATTATTTTCACAACAGATTTTCAAAATGTCTACTATACCGACTCTTATACACAACTTGTATCTTCTTAAAAATTGTCATTTTCAACGTCTCAAGCTTAAATCAGATATTATGCGTGCTGCTTGACGGATTCGATGACGCAGCTCATCGGCTGAGCGAACTGGTTTTCCATAGACCTTATCTTTTAAACATCCCCAGTAAAAAAATCCAGAGGTTTCAGGTCTGGGGAGCGTGGGGCCACAAAATTGGTCCTAACAAACCAATCCATCTTCCAAGGATTATTTCATCAAGATACTCCCTTACTGCACTGGCATAGTGTGCAGGGCACCCATCATTCTGTAACCACATCCTTCTTCTTGTCTCATAAGGCACATCTTCCAAAAGAATGGGTAGATGATGTTGCAAAAAATTTAAGTAAATTTAAGTTTTTAAGATCATTTTCCGATTCAGTCTGGTACATTTTCTTCCACAATAATTAGTCAAACTTTAATAGAGGTTTTCACACTGAAACAAAATGTAATGATTTTTGTTTAGCATACCGTGCTAGTTCTCAATGAAATGAATACTCGGTTGTCACAATCAACTATTAATGGTAGCCCAGGAGAAAAACATAAGTTAGAAGTTCTTTATAGCCATAACACGCAAAACAGGAGCAAAAAGTAGGGATTTTTTGAAAAAGCTTGAAAGTGGCAATGTCTCGAAAACTAAAAAACTTTTACAAAGGTCATGTTGATTTTATTTGATTGATCTGCAGCCAATCTACCTACCGTGTTACTCTAAATGTGTTTCTCTCTGGGACAGCCTGTATATAGAAATTTGGTAGGATATGACGATATGCGAGATTTTATAACGGTATGAATTACATATTAATATTTTGCGCTATCTTGACGAATACATGCTTTTTTGTATGTAAAATATCAATGTCAAAAACACAAGCTGTTATAAGTTCACTGATATCTACTTTATAATCTGAAAAGGTCCTGAAGAAAAGCATAATATGTTGCAAATACATAAGATAGATACTTTTTATATGAATCCTGTATATTTTCCTACGAACAAATCAGTATTAACATCATTATGGTCCAAAATGTTTTCACTCCCAGCCTTTGCTTAAAATTAGGAAAAAAGTGATTGTGAAAATATGTGTTGAGCGTTTACGCGTGTACATTAATTGTATACGCCTCGATGTATGCAATGCGTACGTATACCATGAATACAATGTATGCATTGCATATACAGTGAATACAATAAGGATATTTTCGCGAGTCCACGGTGCAGCACAGTGCACTACCGGGATCCGATACTCAAATTTTCGCGAAGAACGGGAAGGCGGATGTGACGTCGTCCGAATGTCAAAAAATCACGTGGTACGGGTACCCGGCTAACGTCTGTGTGGTACCAGCGAGTGACAGGTCTTATGTCAATGTAATTTAAAAATAGGCATCTCAATTGAAAATTTGTCTTCGCAGTGCCGAAAATTGAGCTAAATTTATTATATGATATTATAAATGGAGGAACACGTCCACCTGATTTTAAATGACGAGGGAGAAGATATATGAACCGCAATTGTCATATCAAATGATTGATTTTATTGATATATATGTACATTGCACAAAAAACGATCGGTCTTTTTATTTCAGATTCAAACAAGGCAGCTAAGTTTATCAAGGAGCTCAAAGCAAACATTTTGGGCAACATGCGAAATCTAACTTGAAACTGTCAAAACTTCGAGAGGAAGGGGAAATTCCATCTGTTCCCGCTCGGGAATCTCAAAAATCTGACCCGGAATAATCAGAGCCTATGGCAACGCTGCGTATCTACTTAAGTGTTTTTGTTGTTTTATGATTTGTCAAAACATCAAAACAAGCAGAACTAATAACAATATGCAATTGTATACACCTTATGGATAAGTGAATCTTAAAATATTCAAAATGATAGAGGTGACGGCAAGACTTCCAAGGGGACATGTGTTTTTATCTGGAGAAGTGGTGGAATGTCACATAACATTTACCCATCCTCCTTCGCCAAATAGGACGGTATCCCAAAGCCATGCTGATGCATTTGAAAGCTTAGCATGGGCCTCCGCTCAAATTCATTGCCTCTGTTTCACAGATTCCAAAGTGTATAAGGAAGATGAATCCAACAACCACTTAACCAATGCTGGTACTGCCCTAGGGGTAGTTCTGAAGGATAATGGAAAAGTAGAGATTACAACAAAGCCCAAGATCCTTTTCTGTGATCTCAAGTTATCTCCAGGACAATCAAAAACATGTAAGCATTTTTTGTTTATGAGAATAATTTGACAAACGAAGAGCAAAAATGCAAAACCGATAAAACCACTTTTTACGATTTTTGAGGTAGGCATGGAAATCGGTTAATTTCGATATGCTCTATCCGTTTTTAAAGGCAGATATGAGCAAAAGCCGCTAAATCCTTATGAAAAATTGAGTTTAAAAAAGTTTGACGGGGATTTTGCTCTAGAGGTTTTCCGTTTTATGCAGAACTACGAAAAATGGGTTCATCAGTTTTTGCATTTTTGCTCTTCAAATATAAGTGCTTGCCCACTAAGGGGAGGAGAGGTAAGTGAAGAGAACAGAAATGAAACATTTCTGCTGGGATTTACTAATGACAGTTTATAGATAAAGAAGAGACATTCATTGGGTAGAATGACTTAAATCTACTCCAAACTAGCAATCTATACCTTAGTCCTTAGTAAACAAAAAACCAATAAATCCAGGCTCCATACCTTAGACGTTAGATATTAAGGGGTTTATAGAAACCACAACATACTATCAGTCACAGTTAGTAGGGTGCATGTGCCAGTGGTTGCACAGTTTAGACAAAAATGGAATACAAAGTGAAATTACAAATTTTGTGTTCAAGATAACACAACTAATGTGGTGATCAGATATGTTATTAACCTTTTGCCAACAAATACACTGCTTCCTGTAAAATTATCAAAAAATAATCAAAAAGGTGCTATTTAGCCAGTACTCGGATAGAAGGTGCTAGTAGTCATACAGCTTGTTTCCAATTATCGGATGGGATTTGATTGATCAATTTTAGACAGAACCATATTTAAAAATTTGTGATAGTAAAATAGAAATTTCAAATGAGCTGTCATTAAGACTTTAGGAAAAGAATTTAAACACACTCTTGCTAAGACCATTTAATATTTGAATCAAATATTCATACAAACTAGGTAAAAATAATGAATTTTTCCATAAATCCAATCTTGCACTGTTGACTTTGAACTACCATACTGTTTACATATTTCTAGCAATTAGAGTACTATAAATGTTGGCGCGGTGAGCTGGAGCATTGTCAGGGTGGAGGTACCAAGTGACCATTCTTGACTTTGGCCACAGGTTTTTCGGAGACTCTATGACTTTAGGCAGGCACGGTTCCATGTAAAAACATAATACGTACGATTCAAAGAGAAGACAATAATCTAAGAGCTCAATAAGTAGTTCTTATATTTTTTCTTATTAAAGTTGCTGATGAAACATTGTTTGAAAGAGTTGATCAATTTCACCGCATTATACGTAAAAGACCGTTGAAAAATGGCTGTCCTATGTTGTGGAGATTAACGTTGCGCATATTCAAATTGTGAATTAAATTCCTACGAACAAGCTTTTGCATAAGATAAACCGGAACAGAAGTTTAATATTTTTACGACAAATTTAACAAAGTTGTATTTGAAAAGATCAGAAATTTTCAACCAATTCATTGAAGATATTGGGTGAGAAACATGATCGTACCTTCTTAATTTTTTTATGTAACGACTACATGAGTTTTGAATTTTTTGCAGTCTGTATTTTGTGCGATTTTACTGAGTATGAGTGACTCGCATAACATTTTCTTAATTTTTCTATTTAAAACAGTTTTACTTGCATATAGAAGCCTGAGTCTAAAATAACTAGACTTACACACATAGCCAACATGCTCCTGAAATCTGAAATCTTCATCCAAGTACAAACCTACTTTTTTTGCAGAATGGGAAAATATTAGGATACTATTATTTAGTGATAAATTTAACTTTGATTTGAGGAAAGTACGTTTTTTCTTGGAGCAAAAAAGTATAGATGTCGATTTCGATGCGTTTAGACGTAAATTATGTTTTGCAGCATATTTGCATAAGTATTGCAGATCTTGATTGATAGGGTTGTTAGCTAAATGGTAGTTGTTCGGACAGAAATTATGAAAAACCTGCATATCATCAGCATATGATTGACTAGAACAATGTTGAAGGTGTATATAAGGAATAAAAGCGGACCTAATATGGATCCCTGAGGCACGCCGGAATAAATCGGCCTTTTGTCTGAAAGTTTATTTTGTATGACGACATATTGATGTCGTTCATTTAAATAGCAATCTATCCATTCCAGAACCAAGGCGTCACACCCAATGTATTTACATTTAGAAACTAACAGCTTACGTCACAAATTTGTTGGTAAATGTGGTACCAATTACCAGCAGTATCGGATTTCAAGTATTCAAGTTTTTAACAATAATATAACATTTGTCCGAATGCTGGTAGCGTCCAGGTTACTGGCACAGTCATCCTCTGCCATTGAGTTTTTTTTAAGAAACAACAATGTTGGGACAGATTGTTAGTCACACGTATAGAAATCTTTCTGTAGGGTCTTCTGACAAACTTGCATTGCATTGCAATTGCATTGATTGCTTTTAAGGTACGTATATGATGAAAGGAATAAAGAATAAAAAATGGAGTCAAATAGATTAATTGTGTACTTCCCACACATTTTCGATTTGCACATGGAAAAAAGCAATCCAAATTGAGGTCACCAATAAGATTTTTTCAATCCTCATAATCATAAAACTTTTTTTTTTGTTTTTTGCGACTATAACTAAACTGATGTGACATCCAAAAAACTACAAAGTTTCTTCTCTGCTGCAGTAGTGACCTGATGTTAACATTTATTGAAAATCCGTTTCAGGGATCAAGGATATTTATTATTTTTGATGATTGCTCTAGTAACACATGTTAAAATCTGCCAAGCTGCTTTTTCTTGCCATTGTAGATACTAGCATTGTATCTAAGTAACATCAAAATGCGAGCAGTGTTACAAAGCAATCAAGATTTATTAGTTTTTTTATGTAAAAAGTTTTTTGTCTTTGCCACATTGCTCTCTTACTTTTTGAGTGGTCAGGGATGCCTTGACGTATGAAAATACGAGGGTTGTCTGAAAAATTAAGGTCCCTCGTTTTTTTCAGGCACGAGGAATTTTTTATTTGAAAAAACGAATTTACCATTGGAAACGTTAAGCTATGTTTGAGGATAGTCGCCATTTTTTTACGTATTTTTTTAGACGTAGGATCCACTTTATCGCCCCCACCTCAAAGAAGTCTTGGTCCAGTCTTACGCTTTGGAGAGTGTTCCCCTACGACGATTTTGGATAGCCCGTATCAGCTTTTTCAGAAGCCTCAGGAACCATCTGTTCCCGAATCGTAATTCGCCGATCTTCGAGCAAGACTTGCTGAATCTTCGCCATAACTTCCTCGAAGATTGACGCCCCCCCGCTTCGTTGTTCATCGAGGATGTCCGGGCGGCCGTTGAAGAACTCTCTTCACTATTTGAGGACTTGTTGAATGCTTATACACGTTTCCCATATACTTCACTAAACTGGCGTCGAATTTTTATGGGTGGTAACGTTTTTGCGTGCAAAAATCGGATGACGGCACGGATTTCCCAACCGGCGGTGACTCTATTGCGCATGGGCGTCAGGCCGGTACTGATCGTCGCCATTAGGCGCTTCTTGTTGGGATCGGTGTGGGGGAGCCGACAAACACGACGGTGGTGCCAGATTTCGCGCTAGCATCGCGCCCAGCAAAGTTACAGCGTTGGTAACTTTATTTTTGAAACGACCCTCGTAAGTGGCTTGCCTGAAATGGTTTTTCAAAAAGTCCGACCTTTTTTGTCTGAAAATTGGCAAATTTCTGTTTATGCTATTAACCACATCCAGTATGCATTGTACAGGGTGTTCCTTAATGATATGCGAATATTTAACGGTGTGAATCTACATGAAAAATTAATGTTAGTTTGCTTTATAAACTATGGTTCAAAAATGTTGAAATTAATATTTTCAGAACCGCTTCAGGTATTTCACTGATATTTGGTACGTAGTGACAGTTAATAAAGTTGCATATTTTTCAATGCAAACATAATTTTTAGCTTTAACAGTGGCGTGCGTACGGTTATTGACTTAGATATTTTTTAAGAAAAAAATGGTACGCCAATGGTTTTTTGCCAAATAAAAATTCTTTTTGAATTCCCCGTTCAATTTAAAACAAATGATCTCTCTTGAACTGTTTGCTCCATTTTTGAGTAAAAAAATAACAACCGTTCTAGTGTTCGAGAAAATGGATGTAATAATTGAATAAAGCAATTTAGCAATAAATATCTAGTTGCTCTGGAATATGTCACTGGTTTTTGATATCTGACAAGTCTGTGTTATTCAAATCTTTTCGCTGTGACATCTTTTTCATTATTTAGTTTTACAATTTTGTGATAATGGTGAATTATTCAAATGCAGAAATGGCGGAAATGCATTACGTATATGGCCTTGTCGACGGTAATGGTGAGCAAGCCAGAAGGATTTATCACCAGAGATATACCGATCGTGCTTTACCAGATAGTCGAACCTTTTCTAATATTCATGTCTGGTTCTGTCCGAACATCTGACGGTAGACCTCTAAGTGTGAGAACACCTGAAATTGAGGAAGCAGTGCTGCACGAAGTCGAAGAACATCCTGAAACGAGTACGAGGAAGATCTCTAGAGACACTTAAATATTTGCCATCAAATTGTTTGGAGAATTTTAGTGGATTTTTTGTTATATGTTTACCATATTTTAAGAGTATTTTTATCCAAATCGTTGGATTGGCCGCGGTGGGCCCCAAGAATGGACACCAAGGTCCCCAGACCTGAACAGTTTAATTTCTTTTTGTGGGGCTATCTTAAGACACTAGTTTACACAAGTCCCATTAACACTGTAGAGGAATTAAGAGAAAGAATAGTTGCAGCTTGTGATAGAATGAACAACACTCCAGGGATATTAAGGTCTGGGGCTTAACAGTTTAGATTTCTCTTTGTGGGGCTATCTTAAGACACTAGTTTACACAAGTCCCATTAACACTGTAGAGGAATTAAGAGAAAGAATAGTTGCAGCTTATGATAGAATAAAAAATACTCCAGGGATATTTCAACGAGTGCGCAATTCCATGAGAAGGAGGGCGGCAGCATGCATACTAAGTGAAGGGGGCCATTTTCAACAAGTTTTGTAATCATTTCGTTGGTTTTAATGTTATGTTTATGTTGTCAGTTGTTGTTGTTCATTACCCCTAATGTGTTTAATTTTTTCCAATTAAATTAATAATAATTTTGCAAGTTAGACAATAGAACGGTTTTTATTTTTTTACTCAAAAATGGCGCATCGAAGGAAAACAATTCAAGAGAGATCATTTGTTTTAAAATGAACGGGGAATTCAAAAATAACTTTTATTAGGCAAAAAACCATTGCCGTACAATTTTTTTCTTAAAAAATTTCGAAGTCAATACCCGTACGCACGCCACTGTTAAAGCTAAAAATTATTTTTGCATTGAAAATATGCAACTTCATTAACTTTCACTACGTACTAAATATCAGTAAAATATCTGAAGCGGTTCTGAAAATATTAATTTCCACTTTTTTCCTAAAACTTCAACACCCCGAGTTTTTGTAAGGAAACATTTTTGGACCATAGTTTATAAAGCAAACTAACATTAATTTTTCATGTAGATTCACACCCTTAAATACTCGCATATCATTAAGGAACACCCTGTATATTTGAACATTGCTGACAGTTTTCATCATACCCCTAATTAACTGATCTCAGCCAATTCATGGTGTTAATTTTTCAACAGATGTTTACAAAGAACAAATTCCAAGTGATTCACCACCATCATACAGAGGACAGTTGGTAAAGTACTCATATAAAATCACAGTTGGCACTCAAAGAGTGAGTAGTCCTGTAAAACTTCTCAGAGTGCCAATTAGAGTATTACCATTATGTGAAGCTTTTTTGACCGAAGCAGTGGCGCTGTGCAATGATACTACTGAAGAGCTTACTCCTGCAAATCCATTTTTAGAAATTAGACAAAAAGAACGACCTCTGGAACTTGCACTACAAAGTTTACAGGTAACTAAACTAAGTTCTCACAAGTTAGTTATACTAAGAGAAGACAGCTAGACAAGGCAAATGAAATGGGAAGAGATAGAATGGTCAAAGGAAAAGCATGGCGTCTAGCCACGTATTGTTAGGATGCCAGATAGATAATTCTTTATGGATGAATTTAGTATTCATTATTTATACAGGAAGATTAAGCATTGTTTGTTCAAATTTACTTTTCTGTAGATGCCAACTAAGAATGCAAGGTACTGTATGTGGGAACAACCTGGAAAGTAAGTTTCTGAAATGGCTGCTACGGGGCGTAACTGCAATCTTGTATCTAAAAAAGTTATGTTTCTGTGAATTCCGCTATAGTTAGCTAACAAAAAATACTTGATCTTTAAAGTCGCGGATAATGTAAACTTTTTTGTTTGCCAATTTTTGCTCTTGGACGTTTTTGTAATCGTTTTTGCTCCAAGCCTCTACGATGGATAGGTTCCCAGATATAGTACCTCGCATTCTTTGTTGGCCACCCTGTATTTTTCAACCAAAGTATAGGTTGCACCATTTTGGAAAACATGTATGTAAGTCTATTGGTCAGGGCAATCACAAAAGGTGTCAGACATTCTAATGGTTATTTCACATTCACCAATGGATCCTTAGTTATTCTATTAAATATTAGTCGGCCATCCATATTTTAACAAACGAGTTAAAATGCGTGCCGAGTTACACGTTTTCTGGTTGTGTGGAACATATTTTGGAAAAATGAACATAGGGAATGATCAATAATAATAAGTATGCTGTGTTATTCCATTCAGCTCATTATAGTAAGTTATGGGTGAATATACAGTATTTGGGTTTTCATTGTGAAGTAAGAAAAAAAAGCTTATTTTGTTTTCATATTCATTGTGACACAAGATTGTGTGATTTGTGATACATATTTTCATGGTCAGATAATATTTTGATTTTGACAGCTTTTATGCGACCTATTTCACGAGTATTCATTACATTTTGATGTCTACTGAGGTGGACAGCTGATCAGTAAGTGACATCTTTGTATTAGTCTGTAATGTTGTCAATAATAAATCGAGTGAAAATCTGGTAAACTCAGGACTGTATTCGGAGCTGTTGTTCACATATCTAGATACTTTGAGTGACTGGGAATTTTAGCAACAAATTATACGAAGTATATGGAGTATACATACAAATGTTTATTAGAATATAGTACATCTGGAATTTATGAATTACGAGGTAAGTCAATACATAAGATTGTGTTGTCCTTTCCAGTAGCTGTAATTTTACCTGTAAAAATAGTGTAACAGTTCAAATACAGGTTATGTATCCCCAGAAACTCTCATAAAATTAATAATGACTACAGCTTGTTTAAAGCACCACTCATGTAAAAACATGATGTTACACGTTACAAGCCAAGGGCACCAGCAGGAATTTTCTAAGGAGGTATCATCGCCAAGAGGCAAGTTTTTGTGAAAGTGTACTTGCCCCCAAGACTCTTTGAAGAGTGGGAGTAGCAAATTTTCCCAGGGGGGCGGGCAAATCCTGAAAATCCTCAAAATTGTAGAGAAAATTATACCAAAATATGCGAAGGTTCAACCCGATTTTCAGGGGGCACGGCCCCTGCGGTCGCCCAAGCAACCTGTCCATCTGAGAATTTTTGGTGGATGAAAGTAATATTTTTTTAATACCTTACTCTCTTTATACAAGCACTGTCACGGGATGTTTTCGTTGCTTCTGGATTTTTGCAGTGTTCTCAATAGTTGGCCCATCTTATTTTATTCCTACCTGACTTGAAATGTAGTCATTAGCAGCCATTTTGCTTGTATTGTTTTTTTGTAAATGACGTAATTTTTCTAAATAGAGGAGTTGTTAGCATGTACAAAATTAATGCATAGCATAGAAAAAACCTCAACAAAATACGGCTCTGTCTACTTGGCGTTGACGAATGTCTCAGAATTATGTGTCTCTTGTCGATATGGGGAATTTTGAAATATCACTAGATAATCAGCTGTTATTCTAATGTAATGGATACTCGTAAAAAAGTAGTTAGGTCGGCGGTTATATCTAAGCGTACGATTTGTACGTTTGATAATTTGACCTCCAACCACACTAGCGCCACGTAGCGGCAGCAAAATTGAACATTGAGAAATCCATTTAATGTATCTTTTATTTCTGTATAATATTTTCGACCGTCATGTATGGTTCAATGTACATTTTTTATGCAGTTGTGTTGAGTAACATTTTCTATTTTTGCACTGGTCTAATTTCAGAACATAACGGCTCGCCGCAACCCTAACTTTTACATGATAACAAACACCTGGGGAAAAGTAACCAGATTTTGCCTTTTCAAACCAGCATATAAACTAGGAGAAGATATAATAGGAACTTTTGATTTCACTGTAGCAACAGTCAGTTGCATGCAAGTATCAGTGTCTTTACAGTGCGAAGAAGAGACGATAATAGATGAAGATAAGAATACCAAGCAAGTTAGAAACGTAACATTTAGTAAACATCATGAAGTGTGTCTTGGTTACAAATACACACAGCTAATATTACCGATTCCATTACATGTCACCCCTGCTTTTAGCACCAAACTAGGTAAGGTAACCTCATTTGAATTACTTTATTTTTTGTCACTGATTAATTAACATTAAAAACATCATATTATCAGAGAGAGAGAGAGAGAGAGAGAGAGAGAAATAGAAATATGGTAAATTCCTATTCTTTGAATCTTCGCTAGTATATTTATACGCTCCCAACCCCGGTAATTCTATGCACCTATTACCCATATTTCATACATCATAGATTTACTCCCTGAACTTAATCCTTTATGGACTGACGACGGCGTTACATAGGAAGCGCAGAGCCAACCTACTTGATGCCTTTTTTTTGTTTCTAATTGCAGTTAGCTTGAAGTGGCGATTACACTTTGAATTTGTAACAAGTACCCATAAAGAACTATCAGGGCCATCATCGGAAGATACTGAGTGGCAAGCACCGAGTGAAGTTCGTATAGAAACAATGGTGTGGAGCCTGCCTATAAGATTATATTCCACCACACCAATACATGTAGCTCAAGGCGTGCATACCAATACAATACAAAAGCTTACTATACGGTAGTTTTTTAATGGGTATTTAAGAATCAATTTTTTTTTTCTAATTGTACTGTTGCGAAAAGATATAATTAAAAATATATATATTTTACAACCCAATTTAAGACTTTTGATATCCTAGACATTCTGAAGCTGCTGTACAGCTAGCCGGACGGACAACGGCAGTTTTATTCTTTACAGTGGTTTTACCCACGTTTTGATATTATTTTTTGTTTCGTGTTTTGTAATGACGAGAAACAAATTCGACATGTTTTTAATGTACGTTCTGGATACTGGTGTACCTCTCGTCTTCATTGATTGGCTTTTTTGACTACTACTTCCCCCTTCAAAGAGTAGTAAATTTGGAAGCCAAAAAGGAAAAACGTTTTGGATTAGTTTATAGAGGAGTCAAAGGCTTTTGAGACACCCCAAATTAAGATACCAGTATTCACGTTGAGGGTGAATACTCTGGGTTACATGTTCCTCCAGCCTGACTGCCTGTAGCTCGGTACTCCGACCGAAAGCCAAATTGAACATTCGGAATCACATGGTGATCTGACAAAGAAATCTCAAGGTTATAAGTCACCTTTTCGGCAAGTTTAGAAGGAGATGGCAGCAGACTAATGGGACGATAACGCTGAGGGTATATCGAACCCACCTTTTTTGAAATCATGATAACCTCAGAAGTCTTCCACCCCGCAGAGAAGTACAAATACTGGGTTCTGTGCATTGCATTGATTATTGTCGTCAAATATGTCGAGCTTTCCGAGATAACAGCCTCAACGCCTTGCTGATGATTTGATCCTCCACATGTACTTTAAGCACCTTGTGGTCTTCAATATGATCTAGGAGCTCCGCTGGTGTGCAATGTGAAACCTCGGATGTTTACGCAAATGTGCCCAGTGAAGCCTCAGACGAATCTTGCAAAGAAGAGTCACCTGAAGATTCAGTGCTGCTCACGCCGTTGGCCCTAAAATATCGCCTGACATATCACACGATGTGTTTTTCCATGGCGTCAGCTAAAACCTCGGTCTTATCATGCGCTCTGAAGACTATTGCTTTCCGTTTCTGAATAACTTTGAGAGACGAATAGATACTTGAATCAAGCATTCTGGCAAGAAAGTCGTACCATTGCTCATGGCGGAATTTATGGAGCGCGTTTCTCACTTCATGAATAAGATTCGTAGCCATACTAATGTCAATGATGACAAGACCTTTTTGCCTGCTTAATAGCCTCTCTTATGTCACAGATCTTCAGACGAATGTCCACAGGCAAAAAAGGTCTGCCGTGCTGTTGTACAGGAAATACACCTGCATCCTGTAGAACTGTTTGAATGCAACTTGTCCACTCCACTTCAGCGGCATCTACTCCAGATCGAAGTTCTGGACATACTTGATCATGCCGCTTTAGTTCAAGAAAAAAATATTTTAGAGATCAAAAAGACATACTCGATTCCTTCGGGAATTGAATAATGTAATAAACACATTCATATCTTCAAAAACACCAGGACCAGATGGCATTCAAATAAATGCCATAAAACATGCAGAGGCCACAGTTAAAGCTCAACTGATCGATGTTATAAATTGGATTCTTAGTACTGGATATCTTCCTCAACGTTGGTATTTGGGTGAAATGATATTTCTCCATAAAGGTGGTAAAGGTCCTAGACTACCAGAATGATACAGGCTCAATATAATGGGTAAAATTAGCAAAATTAGCTGCATTTCATGATCTTGTTTGCGTTCACGAAAGTATTTCAATTCACAGAAATTCTATTACTACATATTTCTTTTAGTTTCAGAGGACAACACTAAGCTAAGGTAGGTATGATGCAAAATCAACGTTATCGACTTATTAAATCTTAATTGAGAATAAGATGCCTAGACATTAATATGGTTCGTTTCAAAATAGTTCATTAGGTCGGATCTTCCGATAGAAACCAGACACTAGGTTTTATCTTATATACAGTAAGGACCATGACAAACTTAAGGAGCAGGTAGGCTTTGGAATGATCTCCGAAATAACAAAAACTTACCTATACAGGGTGTTTCAGTTTATTGTTGCATAACTTTAAGATTCGATAGAACTTTTAAAATTAATGCATAAAGTCTATATAAACCTGGGTCGAAAAATGGGTGGCTTAAATTTACTTTCTAAAATAGTTTTCTTTAAATATTTCGAACAATATTTGATGTATAACAGTGAAAATTGGTGTACAAGGGTTTTTTGGTACGACAAAACGAACCGTGGGCATTGTTTTACTATAGCCGCTAGAGGGCGCTCTCTACTGTATCTGTAGTGTATTAAATTGACCGAAAATTTTTTCTTAGTGCAATTTCTTGGTTTTTGAATTCTTGATTCTTCGCACTTTTCAACATAAAAAAGCTCTCTTGTAAATTTTCGTTATAGTTAGCCGTTTTTGAGATATTTCGATTTTTAAGGTTCGATGCATTTTTAATTATTTATGATAAAATAACGTTAAAAAGTCAGTATCTCGATAATTTTTAGAAGTAGGCTGTGCCTGCAAATATTTTTGAAATTGAAAGCAGAATAAGGTTAAACGTCAATTAGTTGACAGTTAGTTTTGTTGTCTGTTGAAACCTGAAACGCTTTTTTGCAATTGTGAATGCACGAAATTTAGTTTCTTTTACCTGTTTTTTTTGTAAGTTTTATAAAAATGCCATTTTTATTCTCCAATCAAGAGTTAGCGGATATTCATTTTGTGTATGGCTTTGTAAATGGAAACGCAGCAGAAGCAGCCAGAGAATACGCACGAAGATTTCCAAACAGACGACATCCAACTCGCTCAGTATTTGTAAGAGTGCATCACCAAATAATTGAAAATGGTTTTGGAAATCTCCAAAGGGATCAAAACATAAATGTTCGTCAGCGCAGATTTACCCGTATGATTCTGCGTGAGTTTGATAGAGATCCGACCATAAGTGTTAGAAGAGTTTCTGGTGCCTTGGGAATTTCAGCAAGCCATGTTCACCGTGTTCTTAGAAATGACCATATACGTCCTTACCATTTGCAACCTGTGCAAGGACTACAGCCAGGGGACGGAGAACGAAGAATCACATTTTGTCAGTGGATTCTTGATAGAACTGATAATAATAGGGAGTTTTTAAGTAACGTTTTATGGACCGATGAGTCATGCTTCACTAGACGTGGAGTGGTAAATTTTCATAATCAACATATTTGGTCGCATGAAAATCCGCATGCAAATGGGGTAAAGGAATTTTCAGCATGAATTTAGCGTGAACGTGTGGATTGGTATCTAAAGTAATCGACTATTTGGACCCTACCTTTTGCCTGCAAGGTTAAATGCTGCGACCTTCTTGGATTTTTTAAAGGCTGAACATGCAAATATGTGGGATGATGTTATGTTAGATTTAAGAAGATTGGCCTGGTTCCAGCTTGATGGTTGTCCAGCTCATTATTCGAGAATAGTTAGAAACTGGCTGGACGAAAATTATCCAGAAAGATGGATCGGCCGTGAAGGACCAGTCGCCTGGCCTCCACGATCCCCTGATCTAAATCCATTAGATTTCTTTGTGTGGGGATTTCTAAAAGAAAAAGTGTACCAGACTCCCATAACCAGAAGAGATATGCTAATAGACAGAATCAGGAATGCATGTGATGAAATAAGGCCTTATTTGAATAATGCTATACCACGTTCGATCATTCGTAGATGTGAATTGTGTATTGAACAATTGGGTTTACATTTCGAGCAACTACTTTAGATTTTGTATGTTTGTCCTAACTATCCAATAGCATTTTAGTTGTAAATAATTTAATTTGTTAAAAATAATATTGGAAAATTAAACAAATTAATATTGTTTTTTTGTGTTTATTTGGAGTTAGGAATTATTGCTGTGTTTAAAAACACAATCTAAACGATCATTTTAATTACTTGTAATGCCCAAATCGAAAATGTAAAAAAAATATTATTTTCCCATAAATAATTAAAAATCGGAATATCTCAAAAACGGCTAACTATAACGAAAACTCTCAGGAGAGCTTTTTTATCTTGAAAAGTGCGATGAATCAGTTTTTTATTCAAAAAGCAAAAAATTGCACTAAGAAAAATTTTTCGGTCATTTTAATACACTACAGGTACTGTAGAGAGCGCCCTCTAGCGGCTGCAGTAAAACTATGCCCATGGTTCGTTTTGTGGTACCAAAAAAACCTTGTATACCAATTTTCTCTGTTATACATCAAATATTGTTCGAAATATTTTAAAAAAACTATTTTAGAAAGTAAATTTAAACACCCTGTATTTCGGAAGCCACGCATTTTTCGACCAATGTTTATATAGACTATGCATTAATTTTAAAAGTTCTATCGAATCTTAAAGTTATGCAACAATAAACTGAAACACGCTGTATAAAAGTGTCACCGTTTTTGAGATATTGATTTTTTTCCTAAATTTTAAAAAAACGAACCTTTTCATCTGTGGTCTTTAGCTACATGTATAAATAAGGTTATACTTTGTTCATTTTTTCTATAAAACACTTCTAGATAAATGCTTTATCATATACAAATGCAATGTAGTTAAAAGATATTAAGGAACCATATTACTACAATATTATTATGGTTTTCACTTATAAAACATGGAATATCTCAAAAAATACTAGGTTTAGGTATACGGAATGGTTGATAAAACTGAAAAGGCATCAAGAGACCCGTTGAATTACATACATCTGTCCATTTCGACATACCCTGTATGCCTCGGATGAAACATGCTTAAAAACATTGGATATGAATGTCTACGTCTACCACTGTTTCAATTACTCAGTATGACAAGACACGGGAAGTAAAACGTACAATGATTTTAACGAAAGTGCCCATATATTCCGAAATACCCACTACAAATCCCCGAACCATACATTGGCAGGATGGCCAAGAAAAGGCGCTTCTAAAAATCAACAGAATCCCATTTAAAAAAATACAAATTTATATTTCCACTAATTTATAGCTAAAAATAAACGCTTAGCTCCTCCTACAACTTTTCTATTTAACTTTTTTATACATCTCTAATAGTAATGAAGATATTGAGATTTGGACAGCCAGTATAGTGAAAGCAGCCTAAAGGACACAGTCGAAGCAGTGTTGGGAA